TATGATTTTCTTGGTACTTTGTTAATTTTTTTGGAACTAATTCATCATCAGGAATTAACATTTCATCTAATATTTGGCGATTTATTATTTTTATTCTTTCTTGTCTCTTAGTTAAATTATTTTTTATTTTATTCATATTTAATTGATAATTCATTCATTTTTTTCTTTACAATGTAACATAATTTCTTCTTTTTCAAATTCTTTAATAATTTTCCCATATACATATTCATCTATTATGGATAATATAACTAGTTTATCTAATATTTGTTCTCTTATCACTCTAGGTAATTCTTTAGTTATAATTAATGTTATTATTTTTAATTTTTTAGAAAATGGTTCTATTAGGTAATTTCCTTGATTATCTTCTAACTTATAATACCAGTCTGTTTTAGTAATTGTGACTTCCATTTTTATAATTTTTATTGATACTTATTTATCTCTTCTTTAATTAGATTATACATATTTTTTTCATACGTTTTTAATATCATTTCATAAGTATACATATCTTTAACAATTCCTAATTTTATTTTTTCAATTATAAATTGTTTTATTTCTATAGGTAATTTTTCGAGTATTTTTAGTGTCAATTTTATTATTTCATTACATAATATTGGTTTTATAATTATTATGTTAAAATTTTCTCTTATTATCTTATATATATTACCTAAGTCTTCAATTTCCATTATCTTATTTAATTTTTATTATGATTTTCATGATTTTTATAGGTTTTTATAGATCATATGGCTCTGATACCAATGGTTGGGGTGCTACTATGAGCGAACAAAAATCTAATAATCATTAATAATCTTTTAATATTCTAAACATTCTTTTAATTTTTCTAAACTTAATCTATTATTTATTATAGCTATATAAAATCTTAATGTTAACTTAAATTTTAAATCTTTATATGCTTGAGGTAATCTATTTGTAATAGGTCTTCTAATTTATAATGTGTTAAGTAAATCTTCAAAATCTAATAATATTTGAGAATTTATAATATTCTGTTATTATATTTATATTTGGATTAAAAGGTATATCGTATTTTAAGATATTCTTTATTCTTTTTTCTAATTTATCTATAATATCATGTATATCTTTTATTATTATAGATCTTACAATACCTTTAGCAAAGTTTTCTGTCATATTTTCTTTGAAATATTTTAATATTTTTTGTGATGCATTTAATTGTTATTGATATCCAATTTTGTTGAATTCAGTTTCAAATTCAATTTCTTTTTTATCTTTTTCTATTTTCTTGATCTTATATGGTCTTCTTTTAGATTTGAATTTTTTATAAGTCATTTTATGATAACTTAATTATTTAGGACTTGATTGTATTCTTTTCATACTTTGGTAGCTTTAGATAAATATTATATTTAGGGTATTTTGGGTAGTTCTAATCTTTTAGAGAAGTCAAATGTCATTTTTGAAATGTGCCTTTATTTTTAGGTTATCTATGCATATATCCTCAGGGTTCTTTCCTTTTAAAATTAATGCCCCCCATGATACAAGCACTCATGACGGTTTTTCTATAACTGGTCGTGCATGATAAATGAGTTTTCCTCTGGTACACTAGAGGCAAGAGATGAATAAAGCGAAGAGCACAGATTGAATGTTGGAAGAGAATAGCCAGACTGGATGGATATTTTGGGCAATCGTTCGGAAATTTTGTGAATTGGGTTTTTAATGTTTTTATTAATTGGGTTTTTTATGGTATTTGGTGCGGATTAATAATAACTCTGCAAAGAAATGTTATTTATTCTGTAACAATCAATTAACGTTGCAAAGAATTATATGTAAGAGTCTCAACAATATTGAATTGAAAAAACGTTACTATAAACCGGTTTCAACAACGGTCAATGAATGTTGCAAAAAATTAAATTATTCACATGTAGAGAACATTGAAAAATTGAGTTTCAGCAACAGTCAATAAACGTTGTAATAAATAAGTTTAACAACTTTCAAAACACGTTGCGAAGTATAAAACTTTGATAACATCAATGAACATCACAAAATTCGGAACTTTTCGTAATATTCAGTGAGCATTGCAAAAAGATGTTTCGACAACACACACTGAACGATGTTATAGAAAAAAAATTCACAACTGAACGTTGCTTGCGAAATGCGACAATATTAACATGCATTAAAATATTGTTTTCAAATCTCAATGATTAACACAAATGACAACATACGATTAATGAATGTTGCGATATATACCCCTTTTGGCAACCTGCAATTCACAAATGTTGCATTTTTCATGTTGCAAAATGCCATTTTTGTTGTGTAATTAATTGACCTATCTAATTGGGAAGTGTATATGAACACAAATAATTGCAAGTACTAGGACTATGTATTCCTTTATATTCATTCGTTCTAATATTTCAAAAGTAATATAAAATTTATCCGAATTTTAAGATCGATTATCCTAATTAAATGATAATTCCTTGATAGAATTATATTTATTTTTACATGTGACCCTTGCAAAAATATTTAATTCTATCATGTAAAACATAACGTTATGTCTATTTTCAATTGAAATTCACAATAATTTTATTGAGTACAGTAGTTTCTATTACTTCTCTGAAATGAAATAGAATCACAAATCAATTTAATTAGTAGTCGATTAATTGAAAAGCACTAAAATCATGACAATATTCAAAACTAAAAATATACTTAAAAAGTCAAAATATGAAAATTAACAATAGAATATCAAAACATAGATTCATTGTATTCCTATAGCATCTATACAATTATCCTATCATCATATATGATAACAAAAATACAAATCAAATTGACATGTTATATATCACTCGAAATTAAAGCCTGGAAAGGAAATATCAAATAATCTTAAGTTTCGAATCTCTTCAATAGTTCTTGATTGATGTTTTTGAGTTCTCCTTCTTCAATCTTCAAGTAATGATGCAAGATTTATGTATAAGAGTTGTGTTTTGTATATAAATAGATTCACCAAAACTCGTATAGAATATACATTTTTGTATTAAAGCTTCCTTCCTTGAATGATAGATAAAAATTGTATTTGTAGTCCCAAAATTAAATCAAAACTTACGTTTTTAATTGCTTTTCAAGTAGAAGTTGTATCAAATTATGAAAAAAAATCAAACTGATGGAATTGTACACGACATTGCTGTTTGTCATGCTGGCGAGTAATATGTTACCCTTGCGATCGCAGCCGGTTTCCCTTAAGATTGCAAGGCACAATCTTTTGATACATGTTCAACTTGGTCCCTGACTTTCTTATTTGGTCCATCTCAAGTTCCCTCTTATTTGTACCATGGGCCCTACATCTTTAGATGTAGAGTTTGATCTTTATCATTCACAAACATCCATAATTGACGTCTCAAGTTTTGAAATTTGACAATTGAGTCTCCAAACTATTCAAATGTTAGATATAACTCTCGAAAGTTGTGAATTTATTCCAATTGATTTCTTAATTCTTCTTGTTGATTGCGTGTAATCATGTTAATCTTCTATTACTCTTAATCAACTCTATCTATGCTCAAGAACGCCTTTCTTCACGTCAATTGTACTCAAGTCAAGACTTTTCCTAAAATTAAGTCTATGTTTTGTATCGTTAGAAAATCTGATTAAAATCTAAATTAAAGCCAATAATTAATTTTAATTTTATATTTCATAGGATCCACTAATTTTCATCAAAAATTTCATCAAAATCTGTTAAAAATTTGATTTTAATCTCTACCAAACGGAGACTATAATATAATTTATATTAAATTTGATAGATGTTTGCTTAATTTAAAAATAAATAATCATGTTTAGAAGCCCGAATTTGCGTATAAAATAAGCTTATCAACTACAATAAACAATGTTATGTTGGAAGATTTGTTTTTCTTCTTTTTGTTTTTTAAGGTTTAGTTCAAATCTTTAAATAATAGAAAATGCATCCTAAATCTTTCAAAAATATGAATTAGAACTTTTGGACCTTTTTATCCAAAAATTCGTTAATCGACCAAAAGTCAAACATTTGACAATTTTAAAAAATGACAAAATGGCACCACTATATTTTTTTTTTACCCAAAAAGGGCATAATTTGATTCATATCTTAAAAACCAAAAGTCGAGTGACTTACCGCAATTAACACTCTATATACATACACAATAATAAAGTTTTCGTTTACGAAACGATGAAGTACAATTTTGAGACTTACCATAATTCTGAAACAAATGTATATCAAACATCTACCCAGTTTTTCCCATAGTTAATTTTTTCTTCTACACAGTCGAAATTAATTTTCGTAAAAGCACCGCAACAGCAAACTAAGCTAAAAGTCAAGGACGTAAACATAGTCCATCCATATCGCATATGAGATAAAATTGTTGACGTTGGAAGAGGCATCCAATAAGGAAAATTTTTTATCAATTTTTTAACTAAACTAAATAGGGACTTATTAACAATAACTTCATAGGCTTTAAACTTTAGTCTCGATCCAATTCCATAAAACTTGGCCTTGTTTGTTTGGTGTAGTTAAAATTCAGAGTTTTAGTAAATTTTGATAAAAATTAACAAATGCACGATTAAAAACTTGATAAAAATTATACGTACGATGAAATGTATGATAAAAATTTACTTTAGATTTTTATAAAAATTCTTGTTCAGATTGTGAAAAAGAACTTCCAAATTTGTTATCTTCTTTGGAGGAGTAATACGCGGAGCGATGTCACCTCCTATAAGATGAGGCTTATCCGAATAGCCGACAGAGACACACACGTCGTCAGGCGACTTTGCCACGCTGAAATTGCAAAAACCCTTGCGTGTCAACTGCTTTAATTCATGCAACACTTGTAAGCAGTCTGCCATTCGCTTTTCAAATCCTGTACGTTTCTAGAACCCTTTTTCTCCTATATAAACGTCGTGCGCGAATCCATCAATCTATCCATCTATCCATTGCAATACTGAACAATATCAGAAGTTAAGCAACTGCTTGTTTACTCGAGAACTTAGATACACGCTTGAAATTTGAAGAAATGGCACAGTACGGGGACCAATACGGCAACAAAATGCGCCAGACTGATGAATATGGCAACCCTGTTCGCCACACTGGAGGTCCTAACTCGGGCCAACAAGGAACTGGTCGTGGAACCACCGGAGCTCATGGGACTCAGGGTGGAATTGATTCTGGCCTAGCTGGGCAGCAACACGGACAGGGCAATCTCCGCCGCTCTGGAAGCTCGGTATGCAATAACTATTTTCGGCTACATACTTTTTATTTTCGAGAACTTCTATAACGTTTAACATTTTTTGGGGGGATTGTGCAGTCATCAGAGGATGATGGGATGGGAGGGAGAAGGAAGAAGGGTTTGAAAGACAAGATAAAGGAGAAGTTACCTGGCGGTCACAAGGACGGGCAGACTTACGGTACTCAAACCACTACGGAAGGAGGAGGCTATGGATATGGTGAAGGGCAGCAGCACGAGAAGAGGGGAATGGCGGAAAAGATTAAGGAGAAGCTGCCTGGTGGCCGCTAGAGGCATCATTGTGGGTGATCCAAAAGATGTTTTATGCTTTCTTAAAAGTTACGTCTCAGTTTTTGTAATAAAACATGCCTTAATTTTATGAATGGGTATGTTCTTGTGTGTCTGTGTGTTTGTCAACCTTGTAATGCCATATTGCCATCTACTTTATGAGCAGTACAGTTTGTGGCCTTACGAATAGTAATGTGATGTCTGTTTTTGGTACTTTTTCCTCCATCTTAACCTTAATTTGCATTATATTTTATTTTTGGCTCTTTTAGAATATTCTTGTCGGTTAAATATGTCAATTATTTTTTGGGGTCATTTTCTTTTAATTGCGTGTAATCATGTCACCTTAACTTCTGCAAAGCTAATTACTTCATTCACTACAGTCAATCCAATGAACTGAACAACCGAGTACTCATTGGGATAATCATATTTGCAAACAAATTGATTAGTTGAAAAATATATTTTAATTGTCAAAACAAATTTGAGTAGTGATTAATAATAGAAATTAATTAGCAGTGAACAAATAAATGGAAGTTTAGATTGTCATGACAAATTGATAAGTAGTGAACTACTAAATGGAAGTTAGATTGTGTAGTAATATGGTTTTCATATAGAAGAATATAGAACATATATTTACTAGTAAATAAATAGGTCGATGTCAGGTCGGGGTTGGAGTGAAGCTGTTCTAGCGTGGTGCAGGAGTATTTTTGGGCTCTTTCCTTTAAAATTAATTTCGTCCATGATACAAGCACTCGTGACGGTTTCTCTATACCTGGTACGTGGGCAATATGAGAATTGAGAAATGAGTTTTCCTCTGGTACGTGGGAATAGCACTGGATGGGAAATCAATCGGAAATTTTGTGAATTTGGGTTTTTAATTTTTTTTATTATTTGGGTTTTTTATGGTAATTGGTGCGGGGATTAATAACAACTGTGCAAAGAACATTGCTAAATGTTACATTTTGTAATAATCAATGAATGTTGCAAAAAACTATATGTAAAGAGTCAACAATATTGAAAGAACGTTACCCTACAAAATCGGTTTCAACAACGGTCCATGAATGTTTGCAAAAAATTATATTCTTCACAACATTAAGAGAACATTGCAAAATTGAGTTTCAGCAACCGTCAATAAACGTCGTAATAAATAATTTTTTAACAACTTTCAAAAAATGATGCAAAGTATAAAACTTTTGATAACATCAATGATCGTTCCAAAAATCGAAACTTTTCGCAATATTCAGAGCATTGCAAAAAGATGTTTCGACAACACGCACTGAACCTTGTTATAGAAAAAACTTTTCACAAAGTTCAACATGCATTAAACTATTGTTTTCAAATCTCAATTATTAACACAAACGACAACATACGATTAATGAATGTTTGTGATATACCCCTTTTAGCAACATGCAATTCACTAATATTGTCTTTTGCATGTTGAAAAATGTCATTTTTGTTGTGTAATTAATTGACCTATCTAATTGGGAAGTGTATGTTAATGCAAATAATTGAAAGTACTAGGATTTCGTATCCCTTTATGTTCATTCGTTTTAATATTTCAAAAGTAATATAAAATTTATCCGAATTTTAAAATCAATGATCCTAATTAAATGATATTTCCTTGGTAGAATTATATTTATTTTTACATGTGACCCTTGTAAAAATATTTAATTCTATCATGTAAAACATAACGTTATATGTCTATTTTCAATTGAACTTCACAATAATTTTATTGAGTACAGCAGTTTCTGTTACTCCTTGCCTCTGAGGCCCAGTGAAATGAAGCCATATGTCACAACATGTGGACACATAGTCAATAAGAAAGTCAAAAGGAAGATCCAGTAGGTCAAACACACCAACAAGACAAATAGACCGAGATCCTCACACAATGTTCGAAGCTCTCACGCAGTCTAATGAAGCCCAGTCTGAGGCACTTCTTCGAAGGCGAAGCTCATATCCATCCGAGGCTCTTCCCAACTCGTCCAAAGTTCATTAGGCCGATGCTGTCTCTTGTAATAGATTTAAAGATCTACTAGAAATGAGTGATGTGACACTTGTAATAAAGTTGACAGTATGTGCCTATTGTATAGGGCGGCTGACCCCTTATTAGTGTATTAATTGTATGAATAGACAATGATATGATGCCCCAATTAAGGAGATAAGGTTACGTGGTTCTGATCAACGATCACCACGTCGGTTAATGCAGTATAAATAGGTCTTCTTTGTAATTAAAAGGGAGGTTTTTTTGTTTGGAATGATGAATGAGAAACACACAACCATATATTTGAAGTATACACTTGAACTCTTGAAAAGAAATATATTAACATTTCATATATCCTTCTACATATTCTTGTTTGTTATTATACAGATTAGTTTGGTTTCAACTCGACGATCGTTGCTAGTGCGATCGCTTTCGTTCCACCTGTCGGAGCTCAAACAATTTTGTCTCTCGCCACAAAGTACCTTCCGCGTCCATTTCCTCATTGCTTCCGTCATCATTCCGGTAGTAACACGTCGGAATCGTACTTGACTTGGTGTGAGTGGGTCTGGCATCTGTTGATTCATTTGTGGGGGTCAACAATTTCTATTACTTCTCTCAAACGAAATAGAAATTTCAAATCAATTTAATTAGTAGTCGATTAATTGAAAAACATTAAATATTCAAAACTAAAAATATACTTAAAAGTCAAAATAGGAAAACCCGCAAGTGTACGGGATCGTGGTCAAGTAATAGTAGTGAATAGAGTGTCAAACCCACGAGAACTAAATGTTTGATCGAATTAAAATTAATTCCAACTTTAATCGAATAGCAAACAAATTTTGTAATTTTTTATACCAATTCCTAAATTATCGATTAAATTAATGAAAATAAGCAAATGTGTTTTTCAAATATGTGATATGCATTGCTAAGATATCGAATCCCCTTTGTTATTCCATTTTTAGTGTAACAATTAAAGCGACAATTTCAAATCATTTATGTTGGCCAATGTTCCTAATTTAATTCAAAGTCTCTCTCGATAACAATCAAATATATTCCTCTCATGTGACTTTTTTTATCTCTCGATGAAAGATGCAAACATGATAAATGCATTAACAAGCACTAGAACGCCTATTGAAACTATATAAAGTATAGAGGTATATCTCTATCATCTTCGAACCTTACAATGTTTATTATAATGTGCTTAAACCCTATTATCCCTCTCGATAACAATAAAATCCACTAACAATTCAATTGATAATCAAACAATTAAAAACAACGATAAAACAATAATAAACATTCACAAATCAAATCAAATTAAAGTCAAAATAATTAATTAAAAACTAAAAATATCATAACAATGGTTCATCTCATCCTAACAATGTATAAAATTAGCCTAATATATTGAAATTATAAAAAATAATATTTAAGTGAAAAGATATAACCCGAATTTTTGATAAATTGAAAAGATGAAGATGAATCTTGAAATCTTGAACCTCTTCAATGGTTTCTTGATAAATCTCCACTTGTGCATTCTCTTCTTTACCCAAAACTCAGGTTTGAATATTCACTTGATTGAATTCTTGCAAATCCCTTTCAATTCTCTCACAAAAACAATGAATAATCTTACTTTGATGATAATAATTGATAAATATTGTAGTATGAGATGTATATGAGAGTTTTTTATCAAAAACAATGAATTCTCCTCCTTTGATGATAATAGTTGATAAATATTGGAGTATAAGATGTATTTATGAGAGGTCCTCCATATGTGTTCTGCTGTTAGGTATTTGTAGGAGTAAAAAATTGGTGGAAAAACACGTTCAAATTCACTTCCAATTGAATAAGAAAGTTGCTTTCGCGAGCGAATTTTTTGTCTCTGCACAGCAATTAGTATTTTTGCCATACATTTCTCGTCCGATATCCAATTGAAGCTATTCAAAGTGATTTGGAAAGATAACTCGAATGGATACATATTTGATAGAAATATACATTTCCCAATTAGGATGTTTACTTTACCAAAAATGGGTTTCAATTTTCGACTAAAAATCTGAAATATAACTTGTGCGATTGGACATTGATTGTTATAATATTTTGATCACATTCCATTTCTTTTTGAATTCAAATTTCATCAAATTGTCTCCTAAAAATCTTTCAACTAATCGTTTGATTCGAATCAACTATTGAATATTTGTAATTTGATCCCCAATATTTGCATTTTGCCATTTTTACCAATTTTCGCTTCTTTTTTTTCAATTCCTCGCCCAATCATTGAGTTTTACCTATATAAGATAAAATACAACAATTTAGAATATATTTTATCGAAATAACTATCAAATATAGCTATTTTAGACCCCGAATGAGTATATAAAATACACTTATCACTATACAATTAGCCTATCATAATATATGATTATAAAAATACAAATCAAATTGGCATAATATATTAATCTTAAGTTTTGAATCTCTTCAATAGTTCTTGATTGATGTTTTTGAATCCTCCTTCTTCAATCTTCAAGTAAAGATGCAAAATTTATGTATAAGAGTTGTGTTTGGTATATAAAAAGCTTCATCAAAACTTGTATAGAATGTGCATTTTTGTATTAAAGCTTCCTTCCTTGAATGATAGATGAAAATTGTATTTGTAGTCCTAAAATTAAATCAAAACTCGTGTTTTTAATTGCTTTTCAAGTAGAAGTTGTATCAAATTATGAAACAAAATCGAACTGTTGGAATTGTACACGACATTATTGTTTGTCATGCTGGTGAGTAATATGTTACCCTTGCGATCGCAGCCAGTTTCCCTTAAGATTGCAAGACACAATCTTTTGATACATGTTCAACTTGGCCCCTGACTTTCTTGTTTGGTCTATCTCAAGTTCCCTCTTATTTGTACCACGGGTCCTACATCTTTAGATATAGAGTTTTATCTTTATCATTCACAAACATCCATAATTGACGTCTCAAGTTTTGAAATTTGACAATTGAGTCTCCAAACTATTCAAATGTCATATGTAACTCTCGAAAGTTGTGAATTTATTCCAATTGATTTCTTAATTCTTATTGTTGATCGCGTGTAATCATTCTATTACTCTTAATAAACTCTATTTATGCTCAAGAACACCTTTCTTCACGTCAACTGTACTCAAGTCAAGACTTTTCCTACAATTAAGTCCAAGTTTAGTATCGCTAGAAAATCTTATTAAAATCTAAATTAATTATTGATTTTAATTATATATTTCATAGGATCCACAAATTTTCATCACAAATTTCATCAAAATCTGCTAAAAAATTGATTTTAATCGCTACCAAACAGAGGCTATAAATAATTTATATTAAATTTGATAGATATTTGCTCAACTTAAAAATAAATAATCGTGTTTAGAAGCCTGAATTTGCGTATAAAATACGTTTATCAACTACAAAAAACAATGTTATGTTGGAAGATTTGTTTTACTTCTTTTTGTATTTTAAGGTTTAGTTCAAATCTTTAAATAATAGAAAATGCATCCTAAATCTTTCAAAAATATGAATTAGAACTTTTGGACCTTTTTATCCAAAAATTCGTTAATGGGCCAAATGTCAAACATTTGACAATTTTAAAAAATGACAAAATGGTACCACTATATTTTTTTTTTTTACCCAAAAAGGGCACAATTTGATTCATGTCTTAAAAGACCAAAAGTCGAGTGACTTACCGCAATTAACACTCTATATACATACACAATAATAAAGTTTTTGTTTACGAAACGATGAAGTACAATTTTGAGACTTACCATAATTCTGAAACAAATGTATATCAAACACCTACCCAATTTTTCCCATAGTTAGTTTTTTCTTCTACACAATCGAAATTAATTTTCGTAAAAGCACCGCAACAGCAAACTAAGCTAAAAGTCAAGGACGTAAACATAGTCCATTCATATCGCATATGAGATAAAATTGTTGACGTTGGAAGAGACATCCAATAAGGAAAATTTTTTATCAAGTTTTTAACTAAACTAAATAGGGACTTATTAACAATAACTTCATAGGCTTTAAACTTTAGTCTCGATCCAATTCCATAAAACTTGGCCTTGTTTGTTTGGTGTACGATAAATTTAGTGTTAATTATACTTCAGATTTTTATAAAAAAATTCTTGTTCAGAGTGTGAAAAAGAACTTCCAAATTCTTATCTTCTTTGGAGGTGTAATACGCGGAGAAATGTCACCTCCTATAAGATGAGGCTTATCCGAATAGCCGACAGAGACACACACGTCGCCAGGCTACTTTGCCACGCTGAAATTGCAAAGACCCTAACGTGTCAGCTGCTTTAATTCCTGCAACACTTGTAAGCCTCTCCTGCCATTCGCTTTTCAAACCCTGTACGTTTCTAGCACTCCTTTTCTCCTATATAAACGTCGTGCGCGAATCCATATCTCATCCATTGCAATACAGAACAAAATCAGAAGTTGAGAAACGACTTGTTTACTCGGAAACTTTGATACACGCTCGAAATTTGAAGAAATGGCAGAGTATGGGGACCAATTAGGCAACAAAATGCGCCAGACTGATGAATATGGCAACCCTGTTCGCCACACTGGGGGTCCTAAGTCGGGCCAACAAGGAACTGGTCATGGAACCACCGGAGCTCATGGGACTCAGGGTGGAATTGCCCCAGGGGTAATTGATTCTGGCTTAGCTGGGCAGCAACATGGACAGGGCCATCTCCGCCGCTCTGGCAGCTCCAGCAGCTCGGTATGCAATAACTATTTTCTGCTGCGTACTTTTTATTTTCGAGAACTTGTGTAACGTTTAACATTTTTTGGGGGAATTGTGCAGTCATCAGAGGATGATGGGATGGGAGGGAGAAGGAAGAAGGGTTTGAAAGACAAGATAAAGGAGAAGCTGCCTGGCGGTCACAAGGACGAGCAGACTTACGGTACTCAAACCACTACTCAAGGAGGAGGCTATGGATATGGTGAAGGGCAGCAGCAGGAGAAGAAGGGAATGATGGGAAAGATTAAGGAGAAGCTGCCTGGTGGCCGCTAGAGGCATCATTGTGTGTGTTCCAAAAGATGTTTTATGCTTTGTCTTAAAAGTTGCGTCTCAGTTTCTGTAATAAAACATGCCTTAATTTTATGAATGGGTATGTTCTTGTGTGGGTTTGTTTGTGCCAACCTTGTAATGCAATCTACTCTTATGAGCTGTTGACAGTTTGTGGCCTTTCGAATAGTAATGCGATTGTTTTTGGTACTTTTTCCTTCCACTTAACCTTAATTTGCATTGTATTTTATTTTTGGCTCTTTTAGAATATTCTTGTCGGTTAAATATTTCAATTATTTTTTGGGCCATTTTCTTTAATTGCGTGTAATCGTGTCGCCTAATTTCTGCAAAGCTAATTACTTCATTCACTTCAGTGACTCAGTCAATCCAATGAAGTGAACAACCGATTACCCATTGGGATAATCATATTTGCAAACAAATTTTGATGAGTAGAAAATTATATTTTAGTTTAGTTATAAACAAATTGAGTAGTGATTGATTGATAATTTAAATTAATTAGCAGTGAACAAATAAATAGAAGTTTGATGTTAGGAATTTGCAGCATAATAGAGTTTTAACAGTTCATTCACAATACAATGATAGAATTCAATAACCAATTTGAATTTCAGCATAAACTATTCAACAGAGTTCGACAATCACAAAGTTTCTAGCATACATTAAAATATATATTGCAGAAATCATTGGAATATATTGATGCTGAAAAATCGAAAGCATAAACGAGACAAAAAAGGGCAGAAGTCTACTTCCCTTTTTGTGCTTCTTCCCTTCCTCACTGGCCGATATGTGTTTAGGCTCAGGAACATCCTCCATTGTTAAGAATTAAGGTTCCACCTTAAAAGGTCAAATCTTATTAAGAGGAGTAACCCAAACTCTTTATAAATTGGTCTATGTTTTTTTTCATCTTTATTCGATGTGAGATTCTATCCCTTAACATGCTCTCACAAGATGGTGGCTCGTTTGAGCACACCAGTTTTGAAATTCGTATGCTCACTTTGGAGTCTTAACCGGATCGAATTACTCGTTAGAGCTTAATGAGCTCTGATACCATGTTAAGAATTGTGGTTCCATCTTAAAAGGTCAATCTTGTTAAGATGAGTAGTCCAAGATCTTTATTAATTGGTCTGTGTCAACATCATTTATCGATGTGGGATATATATCCCTTAACACGCCCCCACAAAATGGTGGCTCATTTGAGCAGAACAATCTTGAAATTCACGTGCTCATTTTAGAGTTTTAACGGGATCGAATATCTCGTTGGAGCATAATGGGCTCTGATACAATGTTAAGAATTGGGGTTCTATCTTAAAAGGTCAATCTTGTTAAGAGGAGTAGCTCAAGATCTTTATTAATTGGTCTGTGTCATCATCATTTATCGATGTGGGATATATATCCCTTAACATCCATGCTTTGCAAATCGCCGTCCAGAGAGAGCACAAGAATCGGTTCAGAACCCTCTTCACTTGGCTTGGATCATCGATCAAGAGATCTCCCAATAGCAGCCAAAAATCACCCTTAAACCATCGAGAAACACCAACGGACCAACCCCACCCAGCTCTATTTCAAGCCTAAGTATACCAAAGGAGCCACTCAAGAAAGGGGCTCAATATTCAGTGAATATTGAGGGAAGGACAGCCAGCTTCATCGAAAAGATAGGAAAGAAGAATGGACAAAGAACTGAGAAGAGGATGAAGAGTAAAAGAAGGAAACACGTGAATATATGTCCAAAAGTCAAGCCAAGAAAATATCTAGCTAAGTTTTAATCCCAGCCATTAATAACCATCCAAAGGTCACAACTAAATCAAACTAACACAATTCGGGTCACAACCAAAGCCACCAATAGGTGAGTGACACCTAGGCAACTAAGGTCCAAATATTAAGTCATAGACTAAATGACACAAATAGCATTAACCCACAAGTGTTAGGAGGACCACAATACTCACATTCTTCACCTTGATTCTTGTAACACATACGCTTTCTACAATGCGAATTTACATATAGAAGGACTATTCGTCATCATCGTCCACTACCTGTAAGAAAAATTAACCAGTATCAATATGCAGTATAGATTAGCATAATTCAAATTTTCCTACAGGTAGAATTTTTATTCCCACATCAGAGGGTTTCCTATCAATATGAATCTTAACAAGTTCGACTTTACCTTGAGACAACTTCTCACGAATAAAATGATACTTCACCTTAATATGTTTAGATCTCTCATAATAAACAGAGTTTTTACTAAGTGATAATGCACTTTAACTATCAGTAAACATAATAGATGTATCATGCATGAAGTTTAATTCTTTTAAAATTCCCTTTAACCAAATAAATCGCTTTGATTATGGCAACATATTCCGCTTCTGTACTAGACAGAGTTACTAAAGGCTACAACTGAGATTTCCATGTTATGCAGTTATCACCTAGAGTAAAGAAGTATGCTGTAGTTGATTTCCTACTGTCTTTATCACCAGCAAAGCCAGAATCAACATGGCCTTTAAGAGTTAACTTCTCAGATCTTTTCTCATACACTAGCCTAGATTTAAAGTTCCAACCAAATACTTCAACAGCCATTTCATACCAGCCCAGTGCGGATTACCAGGATTGGACAGAATCTACTTAGGAGACTGATGGAAAATGCAAGATTAGGTCTGGTAGTAATCATAGAAAACATGACAGAACCTATGGCATTAGCATAAGGAACATTTTCCATCTCTTTCAATTCAGATTCAGATTTAGGCAAATGATTATGTAAAAAATTCATATAACTAGTAAGAGGCACATTCACAATTTTACTGTCTTTCATTCCAAATTTAGTTACTACTTTATTCAAATAAGCTTATTGTGAAATCGTTAACCTATTCTTAGCTACATCCCTTGTTATTACCAACCCTAGAATCTTTCTAGCATTCCCTAAATCTTTCATGTCAAATTTTGATTTTAAAAAATAGTTCAGTTCTTTAATTTGAGACTTGCTAGGTCCAACTAACAGCATATCATCGACATAAAGCAGCAAGTAGACTTCACAATCGCTCTTTATGTCATTAAAATACAAGCAATCATCAAATTCACTTCTTTTAAACTCTATCTTCAGTACATAGGCATCAAACCTCTTGTACCATTGTCTTGGGCTCTATTTCAGCTCGCACAAAGATTTCTCTAACTTGCACACATAATCAGACTTGCCTTTACCCACAAACCCTTGTGGTTGGCTCATGAAGATATCATCTTCCAGCTCCCTATGTAAAAATGCAATTTTTACATCAAGTTGTTCAAGTTCCCAATTGAATTGAACAATAAGAGCCAACATCCATCTAATTGTCTTGTACTTAACCACAGGTGAAAATATCTCATTATAGTCCACACCCTCTCTTTGACTATAACCCTTAGCCACTAATCTCGCTTTATACCTCACGAGATTATTAGGGCTCAAACCTTCTTTTAACTTGTAGATCCACTTACATGGAACTAATTTTTGATTTTTAGGTTTCTTAACAAGTTTTCAGGTTTAATTATCACTCAAAGACTTCATTTCTTCATGCATAGCTTTTATCCAGTTTTCAGAATAATTTCCATTAATAGCTTCTTCAAAAGTAGCAGGTTCTATCTGTTCAAGGGTTTCACCTGAAACTAAGGCAACTTCAGTCAAACTTAGGGATTCATATCTAGGATTATGCCTGATCTGCCTTCTAGCCCTATCCCTAGTAAGTTGGTAATCTTGATTAGGTGGCTGATCATTAAAATATTCAACTTCAACAGGTTCAATGTTATCTTGAAGTTCAGTCACCTCTTCAGGTTCAGTTTCAGTTTCAGGTTCATGATGTGTAGGGTCATTGCCTTCATCCCCAGGTGTAGGTGAATCAATCTTAGTCTACTTCACCTCAGTCTGAACACTCCTCTCAGTTTCAGATTTGTTAGCTTCTTCAGTTTTCTGTTTTAGACATGGCATTTCAGATTCATTAAAGACCACATTCCTGCTGTTAATAATCTTAATGCCTTGAACCCCTAAAACCCATAACCTATAGCCCTTCACACCCTCGGGATACCCTAACATCACACACTTGACAGCCCTAGGCTCAAGTTTCCCTTCAGATTGATGTGCAAATGCAGCACATCCAAACACTCTCAGGTGACTTAGATTTGGAGGCTCCCTCGTCCACAACTCATGTGGAGTCTTAAACCCTATACTGCTGAACGGTGACCTATTAATCAGATAAGCTGCAGTACTTGTAGATTCAGCCCAAAAACCTTTGGCAAGGGCAGAGCTAATCAACATACACCGAACCTTGTTCATTATGGTCATATTCATTCTCTCAGCGGCCCCATTCTGTTCAAGTGTGTATTTAACTATTTTGTATCTTGTTATCCCTTTCTGTTTATAGAAGTTTTCAAATTCGAAATTACAGAATTCAAGCCCATTATCAGTTCTTAATGTTTTAATTTTCTTGTCTAACTGATTCTCAACAGACTTATGCCAAATTCTGAATTTCCCAAAAGTTTTCGACTTAGCCTTTAAAGGATAAATCCAAACTTTTCTTGAGTAATCATCCACTAAGGATAAGAAGTACTTACTTACACCAAATGTGAAATGCTTCTCAGGACCCCATAGATCAGCATGAATATAGTCCAATGGACTGCTGGTCCTATGAGAGCTAGCTTCAAAGCTAACTTTATGGGACTTACCCAAAACACAAATTTCACAGAAATCCATAGCTTCAATGTAATCTTTTCCAAGAAATTTCTGATTACTTAAAGATTTTAGTCCTTTAAACCCAATGTGACCTATTCTGTTATGGCAAAGTTTAGTTTTGTCTTTACTAACTGCAAGAAGATTTAAATCAAGTGTTGTTTTAGTTCTGCCCGCTAAATAGTACAGTCCATTCCTCTTGGGTCCTTTCATAACTATCAGAGATCCTTTAAAGATTTTCAAAATGTTATTTCCGAATTTAAAGGTATATCCCTCATCTTTAAGAGTACCTAAGGAAATGAGG